CCTTGCCCAAATTACCAGTCTTAATCAGCTAACTAGGTTAACTAGTTATCTGACAAAGCAGGGATTCAACATAAGGTCTACTTGTAAAATCTATATGCTTTCCATTATGCATGATGCTACACTTTATGCTTTTCAAATGGAAGAAAGGGAAAGAGGAACCCCATTTTCCCAAGGTAAATGGGCACTTGTTGAAAGAGGAAGAGGAAGGTGAAAGGGGTTGAGAAAGACTGGAGATTAATAAAATTTCAGGGCAAAGTGAGGAAAATGGAAACATTCAGCTTTACTTACTTATTAGAGCTGAGTTAAGGAAGGAGATCATGGTACAAAAAGAAACACTAAAAAGGAAAGCAAGCAAGTAGAAACGAGGGAGCAGTGAGTAAGCTGTGCAGTCCAGCTTTCCACATAAAGTATAGCTAGGAAGGGACAGAAGCACATGGGGACTTTGTAACAGAGGCAGTTTCTTATTAGCACAGATCAGGTTTCCAATGCAAATTCGCAAAACTGTGGAGAGAGACAGAACTATTGGTGAAGCATATACACCTATATATCTGGCACTCTTTTTAGCTGCCCCCTTCTGAACTATTTGTGAAATTCTCTATGTTACAAGGCAGGGTCAGCCTCCCTCTATGGAGGCTGAAAATGACAGAAGCTTGCTTTCCCTCTCTCCCTTGTAGGTTAGGCATGCACATATGACCTATATCCACAAATGAATGATAAGCACCTAAAATTCTGGCTACTTCTCAGAGGCACAAATGCCTACTGTTGGTAAGATCAGCAATGTAATATGTCAGCTAGTGCCAATATTAGGGTAGTGGTATTACTTCTAAACCGGCCTGTAACATAATTTTAAAACATTATTCCTGGCTGTATAACCTTCCAGCCTGGTTTTCTAGTTCTCACAAAAACTTAATAAGCCACCCTACCTACTTTTTAATAAAGTCCTACTCTGTTGAATAGCCAAGGTAGATTTCTATTTCTTCCAACAGTAATCTCGAGTGATACAAAGGAAAATATATATTTCAAATAAATTCTAAAACAAACAAATTCTTAAAATAGGACTCCTCCTACATTTTGGTTCAAAAGGATCTGATGTGGGGCCCAAACATCCATATTTTTAACAAAAGGCCCCAGTGATTATGATGGTCTGTCAAGATCAGAAAACAGTAAGTTAGGAACTGACGGCCTTGGTAATTGTGCATTGTACTGGACGTAGTCCTCAACTTCATAATCTTGATAATTACAACTCAAAGATGTATATTCTGAAGAACCCCAGAAGAAATGTGAATCTAGTTTTGTGAGGGAGAAAAATCTTTCATTTTGCTTGTGATAAAGGCAGTAAAAACAACATTTTTTTCTACTAATATGGAAGAAGATATCTCCTATGATGACCTCCTAAATGTTCTATGCAACAATTATGATTTTACAAAACTATTACCAGTTCTGAGGAAGTTTCAAAGAAATGAATTATTTCTATATGCTCCTATCAGACCACAATTTTAATCTGACCCATTCCTGAGAATGTCAACCCTGATTACTTGATGAAGGTGGAGACTGCTATGCTTCTACACTGAAATTTACTCTTTTTGTAGTTAGTAGCTATTTTGTGGGGAGGTTCTTTGAAACTAGGTAACTATCCCATTGTTAATCAAACTTTCAGATTATTCATTCATTCATATATTATTTTAAAGATTTTATTTGTTTATTTGACAGAGAGAGACACAGCAAGAGAGGGAAAACAAGCAGGGGGAGTGGGAGAGGGAGAAGCAGGCTTCCAGTGGAGCAGGGAGCCCGCTGAAGGGCTCGATCCCACAGTCATGTAATCGCCACCACAATCAAGATATAGACAGAATCTTTCACCACAAGCTTCACCACTAAATTTAATCAATAGTATTATTTTAATATTAACTCTGTAGTGCTAAATTTGCTTACAATTCTATTACTTGATTTGTCACCTTTAAATAAGAGTCCATGAATTCCTGCTATTAAAGATAATGCAACTCAAGTATATACACTTCTTCCTACCTTCCTCCTGCATTCTCTTTCCAATTTTTGTAAAATACAGTATTTGACATTGTTAGGGTATAAAATACATACATTCTTTGTAGTCATCCTAAAACATACATTTGTTTTTGTCTTAATTCTAGTTGTAAAAATATGCATAGGTCACAGTGTATCTTTCTTTCCCCCCAATTTTTAATTTAAATTCCAGCTAGCTAACATACAATGCAATATTAGTTTCAGGTATAGAAGTTAGTGATTTATCACTACATACAACACCCTGTGCTCATCACAAGTGCCCCTTCTTATACCCATTGGGTATTTAACCCATTCCCCCCACCCACAGCAAATCATTTCCTTAGTTTTCCTCTTTATCTATATCCTAGCTGAATGTAAAACACTACAGTTCCTGAACACAACTAGTGCTTTATAAATCTTAGCTAAAAATAGTAGAAGCAATCTTTAGTAAATACATTTTCATTAACTTTATAAAATTATTTTTATTAGTAGTAATAGCAGTAAATGAGTACCTCCAAAATACTGCAGAATTTGCTTGGTGATAACAGGGAGAAGAAATACTTTGGCTGACTGTGTTTTATAAAGGACTTCCTCCATACCATTGTATATATAGTGAGACATAAATTGAACGTAAATTCATGGGAAAATATCAGTTGTGGTCCCTTCATGCTTATACGAATCTTTAATATTTTCCCTCTCTCATAATTCAATCATTCTTTCTAAAATCATTGCACTAATTGCTTAGTAAATCTTTCTTTTAGAAAAAACATAAAGAAAAATTTGCTTTGTAACAGAAGAATGAGCACCTAGATGATTGGAGATATTCATCAGGCATACTCAAACACAAAATAAGCTAAATAGTCTACTTCATGTTACTCATTTCTGACTTTGCCTTCTTTTCTCTTAAAAGCAACATTCAATAGCACAGCCTAGGCAGTTAAATGCTGACCTCTCTTCAATATGCCTCCAGATTACCTTAGTGCTAATATTAGGTACATAAAAATATGAAAAGAACTAGACTTAGGAGCCTCCACTTTATCCCTGATGATGGGAAACACTCTGCTACTGTTTAATCAACTATAACCTCATTATTTTCATGCTGTAAGTTCTTAATGAATTTCATCGAGAGTTCAATTTAAATGTATTAAGTTGCTGTCAGTCCTTCAGTAAGATCAATGAATACCATTCAGGGAGGTGTGGAAACAGTTTCTTGAATCTTCCCTAGAACTTCAAGGTAAGAATCAGATTCAATAAAGTACACTTTAGTAGGGAAACAAAAAGGAATGTTGAAAAGAACACGAATATTGGAATTGGCAGATCTCAGTTTTTAAAAAAAATAGTCAAGGCTTGACCACTTAATATGTGTCCTCTAGGACACCTTTGTTTCTAAAATTCAAAGGGCTGTTGTGAGGATTAGACATGTAATAATATAAATAAAAGTATAGTTTTTGGCAGCTAGTAGACAATCAACAAATGGTAGATAATAATTAGTTTCAGTCATTAAGTATAACAGTCATTTAAAAAAAGCCACTGCAACTATAAAAAGATATAGCCAATTTTTGTAGGGTAAAGTATATCTAAAAATTCTAGCCAGGTTCATGTCAGAGATCAGTAATACATCTTGAAATGCTTGCAGAAAACATAGTGACAAAATAAATGAAAGTATTTTGAAAAAGATAGGCAAACCATTTAAAAGCTATTATAAAAGACTTCTATTGTACTGGAGAATTTTCTGTGCTTTAGGTTTTGGCCTCACTGATTTTTACTGTACCATAATTGCCAAAGTGATTTCACAGAATATGGATGGGCAAGAGGCATAACTATGATCAGGTGCTTTATGTCACTAGTTCAAAATGTCCAATTTTCATCTATTTTTTTAATAATAATTTTTTAGATTTTAGATTTTATTTATCTATCTGAGACAGAGAGAGAGAGAGAGAGCATGAGGGGAGGGGAGGGAAAGGAAAGGGAGGGGTAGAGGGACAGGGAGAAGCAAACTCCCCACTGAGCAGAGCTTGATCCCAGGACCCTAAGACCATGACCTGAGCTGAAGGCAGATGCTTAACCAACTGAGCCACCCAGGCGCCCCTTTACATAACAATTTTACCAACTGTACTCTGACCACAGAAACCATTTGTTGATCTTGAAGCTTTGAGAAAGTGAAGGTTCAGGGAGAGATGAATGAAGGGAGACAGATGCTATTCAATTCAGTTTTAATGATTTGATTAAATAAACTTACATGATGCTCTATCTATGTTCCAGGAGCAGTAGAGCTTGTTCAAGAGTAAAAGATGGACAAAACATAATCCCTGCCCTGAAAAGGACTGTTTGTATATAACTGTTCATAGCAGAAGGCTTATAAAAACACAATCTCAAAACATACTCTCATTTAGAGTATACAGAATTAATATGAGAAAGCTTTCTAAATTTATTGCGATCTAATTAAAATACTGATAAAAAAGTCCAGTATGTCCAGTATAAAAGTACTGATTGGGTATGCTGCACTTCATAAACTTAGTAGAAACCAATCACTTTTTAAATGTTCTCATTAAATCACAGAGATGACAGGTTTATATATTTAGCGAAGTCATGGAAAATTTCCCAGTACAGTAGGTAACAGCCAACCTAGTATGTAATACTCTATTGGGGAAAAAAAAAGACCAAATGTCATAAGGATTAAAAATCAAAAGGGGTTTCTGTTAGATTTTCATTTCAACAGCAAATAGCTTCCAAAGCTAGTCCTACCACTAGTATTTTTATAAAAAGCATTCTTGAGATACCATTAACCTGAAGTCCTGCATATCTTCTATAATGTTCTACTACCAACAGTATAGTAAACGACTGTCTTCAAGCTTCATCTAATGGAAACATCTTTCATTTCTATTGGGAATTTTTTCAGTCATGCATAGTTTATTTGAAATCCAAAGGTTCACTTGATTCTGCCAGACTGAAATTACATTATTAAAACTAGAATTTTTACTCACCCGATCCTCCTTTTGCCAAGTATTTGTTCTTCGCATAAAGGACAGAATCTAACATAGACTCAAAAAGAAGAAAATAGCCCTGCATAAAAAACATAAAAAAGAAAAAGATTTAGAAATGTGTAATCAATATCTTCATTAAGTATATCAATTTAAATATCTGGGCTACTCTTTTTACAAAAGATATGCTTTTGAATCTACCACGTAATTTTCTGCAAAGTTTGAAGTTACTTTTTGCATTAAATTCTCCAAGTACATTTAAAAAAATCAGGTCAGGGTATAAAGTGGACCCAGAAAGTTTATTACGGTTGAATGTACTGAACCTTCTTAATCTGTGCTTCCACTTTCTAGACCATTGTTTCTTCCTCATTAAAAGGAAAATCTGAGATAGAAATTGTTAATGTACCCTCTAACTCCCTGGAATATTGCAATATTAATTCAGACAGTGGTTCTCAACCAGATTTCTGTCCCCTGGAGGACATCTGGCAATGTCTAGTGCCATTTTTGATGGTCACAACTCAGAGGGAAGGAAGGGTGCTACTGGCATCTAGTAATATAAAGCCAAGAAATGCTGATAAACATGCTACAATGCACAGGAAGTCCCACAACAAAGAACTGTCCAGTCCCAAAAGTTGAAGGGCTAAGGTTAAGAAAGCCTAAGTCTAGAACAGCGTTTCCCAAAGAGCTTCCTGCCCAGTGACTTTCTCTTTCGTTAAAAAAAAAAAAAAAAGGAAGGAAGGAAATCTTTAAGAAACACCAGATGCTTTATCCTCATCTTGAGATTCGTAATGCACATTAGCACACTGACAGATCTGGGTAGTGTTATGGTAAAAAGGTCTACTGAACATATCTTAACCATGTTCATAATGCACATTAGCACACTGATAGTTCTGGGTAGTGTAAAGAGGTCTACTGAATATATCTTAACCGTATCTTAACGTAACATGGTTACGTTTGTAGGTTTGCCTACAAACCTCTTTTTTTTTTTTTTTCCCCTATTTTACACCTATCAGTATCTTGCACAACTAGTGTTCTACGTTCATGAAATACAGCCCTGGAGTACGCCAGATTTTAGAGACCAGTAATGAATCCTCTACCAAGAAAGGATAACCATAGGGTGCCTGGGTGGCTCAGTTGGTTAAGTGACTGCCTTCGGCTCAGGTCATGATCCTGGAGTCCCGGGATCAAGTCCCGCGTCGGGCTCCCTGCTCAGCGGGGAGTCTGCTTCTCCCTCTGACCCTCTTCCCTCTCATGCTCTCTCTCTCAAATAAATAAATAAAATCTTAAAAAAAAAAAAAAGAAAGGATAACCGTAGCACAGGTGAAAAGAAAATTTACCACTACTGGTATAATGAGTAAGGAATCAATGACAGCTTGAGTCAGTCTTTCTCCTTTGAGAGCCTATCCCCCAACTACCCAGAGCAGTAGGAAGAGTCAAGTGCTTAGCACATGAAACACTTTCTTACTGCTTAGAGTAAACCAACATGAATTCTGCCCTAATGACAGCATTCTAAGTTCTCACTCATTTGTTCTGTGCACAAATAACTGTTTGACAGGATAAATGCAATACTCTTTAATCACATGAACAAAGACTGTTTATTTATTTTTTAAAGAAGAATTTATTTATTTTTATTTTATTCATTTATTTGACAGAGAGAGACACAGCGAGAGAGGGAACACAAGCAGGGGGAGTAGGAGAGGGAGAATTCCCACTGAGCAGGGAGCCCGATGTGGGGCTCGATCACAGGACCCTGGGATCATGACCTGAGCTGAAGGCAGACACTTAATGACTGAGCCACCCAGGTGCCCCGAACAAAGACTTTTTAAAAGGGTCTCTAGAAGAGGAAAAACCTGCAACTTGGGATGGAAAATCTTCACAAGAGATTATTATTATTTTTAAAGATTTTATTTATTTGAGAGAGACAGAATGAGAGAGAGCGAGCATGAGAGGGGGGAGGGCCCGAGGGAGAAGCAGACTCCCTGCTGAGCAAGGAGCCCAATGCGGGACTCTATCCCAGGACCCTGGGATCATGACCTGAGCCTAAGGCAGTCGCTTAACCAACTGAGCCACCCAGGTGCCCCAAATCTTCACAAGAGATGAACAGCACATTTAAATTTATAGAAAATGTAGCTCACAAGCCTGAATCACTTAAAAAAAATCTAATTAAACTGCCACTAGCAACTCTACATTGATGTTTACCCAATCCCAGCAACATACCAATTCATTGAAAAGAAAATACTTGCCTACAAAAGAAAGATTAGCAACAAAGCCTTTTCTCAATTTGTTTACATCAGGAAAATTAAGGATTTGGTGGAAACTGTTCTGGTTAGAGTATCTCTGTATACGTCTAACTCTTACAAGTGTGTTTACTGTTAATATCATCTGTGTATTCAAAGAACAAGGAACTTCTGGAAGTCAACTAAGAAATCTTTATCAATCTGACATAATTCATGCAGACCTATGCACACAACTGCTTATAAATAAGCATTCATCTGTTAATTAAAGTGAATTTTAATTGATTCCAAGGAATTATTAAAAGAGAAGTATTCTATTTACCTTCTATTACTTCTTTTTTCAGACGAGCCAAGACTATGTATATGTGTGCACAGACAAAGGAAAAAGATCAGCTGGTAAAACATGTTAATAGGTTGGGGAAAAAACAGTCCTTATTTGCAAGATTACTGCATGTTAAAACATTAATTAAAATAAATTAATTTACATTTTGATACAAACTTAAGTATTCATTATAGTCTAGTCTTTTTTGGAAGGGGGCAAAAAAAATTAGTTTGTCATTGATTTGGCATTGTGTCAAACTGTTTTTAGTATTAACTTTCAAAGTAGTTGGCAAAAAAGCTAAGTATTTTGCTTCCCATGTCCAAACTGTCTTACTTCCATGTACCACAAATACACCAAAGTCTTTTCCATCAGTAACTGAAAGTAGCTCCTTCTAACAACATGCTTATTTACTGCATTTATGATAAAGTTATTATTAGCTATCAGAGATTAAACTGTGGCATATTTTAAACTGGTGCTAAAGTCAATACCAATAATATAGTGGTGAAAAGAGTGCACTCCTGGATTTAAATCCCAGCGGAGTCCCTTTCTCTCTTTTTTTAAAAAGATTTTATTTATTTATTTGAGAGAGAGAGAGAGAGAGAGACCATAAGCATGAGTGGGAAGGGGGAGGAGGACGGTGGGGCAGAGGGAGAGGGAGAAGCAGACTCCCTGCTGAGCAGGGTGCCTGCTTTGGGGTGGGGAGCTCGATCCCAAGACCCTGGGATCACGACCTGAGCAGAAGGCAGACATTTAACTGACTGAGCCACCCAGGCACCCCAAGGAGTCCCTTTCTCTATATGAATTTGGACAAATTAACATCATTGTACCTCAGTTTCTTCATCTGTAAAGGGACAATTATGGTATTCTACTTTATAAGGCTGTTCTGAAGATTACATATGTTAATACATATAAAAGTTTAGAAAAATAAATCTTATTAATTTAGCTTAAAAAATTAAGAGCTATTTAAAAAATATATTTAAAAATATGCTTGTGATAAGAACATATTATGAGCAACTCTATGCCAGCAAATTAGATAACCTGGAAGAAATGGGTGCATTCCTAGAGATGTATCAACTACCAAAATTGAACCAGGAAGAAATAGAAAACCTGAACAAACCTATAGCCACTAAGGAAATTGAAGCAGTCATCAAAAATCTCCCAACAAACAAAAGCCCAGGGCCAGATGGCTTCCCAGGGGAATTCTATCAGACATTTAAAGAAGAATTAATACCTATTCTCCTGAAACTGTTCCAAAAAATAGAAATGGAAGGAAAACTTCCAAACTCATTTTATGAGGCCAGCATTACCTTGATCCCAAAACCAGACAAAGACCCCATCAAAAAGGAGAATTACAGACCAATATCCTTGATGAACATGGATGCAAAAATTCTCACCAAAATACTAGCCAATAGAATCCAACAGTACATTAAAAGGATTATTCACCACGACCAAGTGGGATTTATCCCTGGGCTGCAAGGCTGCTTCAACATCTGCAAATCAATCAACGTGATACAATACATTAACAAAAGAAAGAACAAGAATCATATGATCCTCTCAATAGATGCAGAAAAAGCATTTGACAAAGTACAACATCCTTTCTTGATCAAAACTCTTCAGAGTATAGGGATAGAGGGTACATACCTCAATATCATAAAAGCCATCTATGAAAAACCTACAGCGAATATCATTCTCAATGGGGAAAAGCTGACAGCTTTTCCCCTAAGGTCAGAAATGCGGCAGGGATGTCCACTCTCATCACTGCTATTCAACATAGTATTAGAAGTCCTAGCCACAGCAATCAGACAACAAAAAGAAATCAAAGGCATCCAAATCGGCAAAGAGGAAGTCAAACTCTCACTCCTTGCAGATGATATGATACTGTATGTGGAAAACCCAAAAGACTCCACCCCAAAACTGCTAGAACTCATACAGGAATTCAGTAAAGCAGCAGGATATAAAATCAATGCACAGAAATCAGTGGCATTCCTATACACCAACAACAAGACAGAAGAGAGACAAATCAAGGAGTCGATCCCATTTACAATTGCACCCAAAACCATTAGATACCTAGGAATAAATTAAACCAAAGAAGCAAAGGATCTGTACTCAGAAAACTATAAAATACTCATGAAAGAAATTGAAGACGACACAAAGAAATGGAAAAACGTTCCATGCTCATGGATTGGAAGAACCAACATTGTGAAGATGTCAATGCTACCTAGAGCAATCTACACATTCAATGCAATCCCCATCAAAATACCATCCACTTGTATATATACACAATGGAATATTATGCAGCCATCAAAAGGAATGAGA